CGATGCTCGGCCAGCTACAAACGGCTCAATGACAACACAGAGTCCCGCCAATTAGAAATAATTAGGCAGTCATTTTCAGTGGCGAGTCTTTTTAAGTGCATATATAACGAAGTAATGATGCTGATTAGCCGGCTCGTGTGTGCCGCGCTCAAACGGCCGTGGAAATAATTATGCCACTGATCACAAAGCCGTCGCACATCTCTGTACTTCACCTTAATGCATTTAAAAAAAATCCACTTCATTACCTCCAGTAATTAATCCTCCATTAATTGCGGAAAAAGCCCAGTTTACCGCTCTTCGTTTCAAATTATCATCTTATAAATAGTTATGGTTCTAATTAATGTGTTCATTAGGAGGGATATTTTTCTGAAAGATCCGCTCAGAGCAAAGGTTCAGCATCTCTCTCAGAAGCAGAACCAGCCCGAAGGTGCCGCCGATCCCGAACCGTTTGCTTTTATTTTACTACATTCAACCCCCTAATTGGCATTTAAAATCCAATTTGGAAGAACTTCAAGAAGCCTAAATGGGGAAAAAGCGGGAAGGAGAGATTAATTTTGCATTCGTTTTCTGACGCTGTGGCAAAGCGTCTCCCTCTGCCCCACCAGATCGCAACTTTTAATGTGGTAATGCGAGTGTGTTTTCACCACGGCGCTGGAGGGCAGCGGTGTTGGTCCGGACCGGCAAGGCCGGCGTGGAAACGCGCTACGTGAGGACAGCGGACGGATGGCAACACCTTAATTGAAATTCTTAGGCAGCCATTATTCTGCCCCCGCGTCGCGATGTCGGGAAGATGGAGCAACTCTGTAGGAAGAAAAAAAAAATACTGACAAATATTTTGATCACGGCTGAGGTCAAGGTATAATAATCAGGCTTGCTATTTATCGTCCCGCCGTGGCTGATGGGTAATGATGTACGACCGCACCTCTCCGTGCGGATCCCGAATACCAATTCGCCCCCGTGACAGGATTCCACGTGCCCTCAGCCGTTGTGGACGCCGATGAAAGCGCCGAGCCTGGGACCGCCTCATCGTCGCCCATCACTCACGCTACCACGGGAACGGTGAGGGTAATAACGGCAGCCCATTTGCACGAACTGTTATTACGGGCCGTAACCAGGGCGATTCGGCCGGGTGACGCCCACACATCGATCAAGCAGCTGAGGGGGGGCGTCTAATCTTGTACTACAGGGAAACGACAAAGGTATTATGGGATACTCAGGGGGTGCCGTGGGGGGTATTAAAGGTGCTATGCAAACTGGAGGTAAAACGGTGATCCTGAATTTTTTTCCCCAAGATTAAAGGGCCTCGACAGCAGAAATAAAAATGATGTTAACCACCAGAGTGCAAGTGAGCAGACAATGAACAGAGTGGCCAGCGAAGGGGCAAGACACGCCAGAGAGCGACAGCGGCGAGAATCGGGGAGAGAGACGGGGCGCCGAGGCAGCTGAAGGTACGACCGGCAAAAACAACAGCGACAGCGAGCGTCCGTTACCAAGCTGCACGGCGGCGCGGCGGAGACAGCACGCCAGAGCACGGTGCGCGGGAGCTGAATCTGGCGAGTGTACACAGAGGCTGGGCTGGCACCCGGGGGAGTGAGGTGCCGCGGGGGGGGGGGGGGGGGGGGGGGGGGCCTTTTGGCAGGAAGAGGGAACGGCGCTCGCGGCAAGGCGGGGATGAAAGGGCCGGCCGTGTCACTCCCTCACCACGGTCTTTAGCAAATAAGGGCTTCTGACAACAAAGCGGAGGAGCGGCTGACAGCCCTTTAGAACCGATAAACACAAAGACACTGGATGTGAAGAACCCTTAAGATCGTCGTGCTTGGAAGCGTGTACGTTTTTATTAAATAAAAAAAGCCGCACAAACAAAGCAGAGCATCTTTCAGATCGAATCAGGGCTCCGCCATCCTCCAGTCGCCCCGGGTTGAAATACCCGAGCCTGTGGATCAAACCGGGCCGAGCCGGGCCGCAGGGTCCCGCCCCATCACTGCAGGTTTACTAACCCTTTGACGATCCTCACAAGGGTGGTGTGGCGAGGGGGATGGGGGGTACGGGGAAGAGAAGAAAAAGAAATCAGCAATAAAGGGTACTTTTTTTCTCTCCACTTTTATTTGCTGCTGGGCTGCACTTGAGATTGCAAAGCGTGTGATGTAGTGACCCTTGAAAGCAGAAGTGTCTGAACTCCAAATCCCATGATGCATTGCACCATGGCGCTTCCCACAAATTTCCATCACACCTCACTCCACCCCCAACACTTTAATGCATAATCCATGTTGTACGAGGGCCAGCTGGCCCCCCAGCACCAATTTCTGGGGGGGGGGGGGCTTCTCTGCCTTTGTTGCGAAGCAGACATCTGAGTTTCATTCCATGTTCATTCTCCCATCTCGGAGTTCGTGACCCCCCCCTCCCCCAACCAAAAAAATAAAAATAAAAAACAGGCTGGGAAAGCAATCAGGTACCTCGTATCACTCCCTGGAGACTGAGGTTCCAAAGCGACCCCCCCCCCCCCCCCCCAATGTGGGACACAGGGTCCAGAGTGTCCAGCCTCTCCCCATGTTCATTCCAAGCACCTGATGAAAATCTTCAGAACCAGTACGAGTCTCAGGCATCCGGTCAATTATTAATCATTAAAAACATGCCCCACCCTAGCCGGGCCTGAACCCTGTAAGCCAGTACAGTCAAAGCGCTCCATCGCGGTACCGAAGAACGTGAGAGTCTCACCCGCCGGATCAGAGCCAATCACAGGCCACTCCGCACACTGACCGCGCGTCCTGCTTATTGCAGATGTTTTTCCGCTGGGATAAAGCAGCAGTAAGCGCCACCGGAGAATTTTTATTCTGCTTTGGTGTTTATTTATGCGTCCGCTCACTCATTTACACGCAGGGAATTCGAAAGGTAATATTCAAACCCAAACTGCCCTCATACCCCCCCCCCCCTCCACAGCATTTCCATGAAGGTCTTATAATTCTCATTCTGCTGAATAATATCCCCCCCCCCCTCATATTCCATATCCCAGGCCTCAGTCGCATCCGCACTCCCGGGCTCATATCCTGTCAGCGTATCAATCACCCGCCGCTGTCCACTCAATCCCGCTTTGATTTATCAGCCTGCCTCATCCCGGACCACATAACTCGACCCAAACCCTTTTAACAAGACAGTGACAAATTACGGCCCGGATCACGGCAACCTGTTCCACTTAGCAAACTAAGACATGGCCCCCCTCTGCAGATCCCCGCCCACACTGGCCGCTTCCAGCTTCATTCTCGCCTCCTGCCAAACTGGGTACCTCCCACAACATGCCGCCAGCGAATGGCATCACAGCGGCGAATGGGTAAATACAGTAACTGGCGCCCCGTTACCCATAGGTCGAGTCTCCAGCCCCGGTCCCCACCCCCCGACGAGGACCGTTTGTCTGGCCGCCCGCTCTCAGTACACTGCGATGCCACGCTCGGCACCCGGTCGGTTCCGCCCACTCTCCACGCCGAGCCACCGCTTAAGCCAATTTTATGCGGCGTTCCCCGTAAACGTGCCTCCGCATCCGGCCCGTCGCCCATAATTTCCGACCCCCGCTTTAATGCGAGACGGCTGGCTTCAGTCGGCCGTTTTAATCATCTGCACCTCGGCGACATGGGAGAGGGGAAAAAAAAGGGCAAAAAAATCTGCGGTTTGTTACAGACAAAACAAAATTAATAGGGAAAGAAGGGGACAGTCACCCAATTATATCACCGTGATGCTGCCCATGAGCGTACCATGACATCTTTTCATCTGCAGAAGCCTAATGAATACATGAAACGGCCCTTTGTGAATAAAATTAATCATCCTCTTCCTGCAGCCGTACACAAGTAAACAGTGGCCTGCATACATTACGGAAGCCGCTCGCGTGGCTGTACGCGCTTTAAGAGCACAGTTTACTGGTTAATTTGGACGGATTTGCAATGTTAATGCCGTTCGATTTATTTAACAAGCACACAGAGTATTTCCCCTTTTATGCTAAGAAGGCCAGGCGATACTCCGCGAGAATAAAATAACATCACCGCCGTCGTGATAATTCAGTAATGCCAAACGGATAATCGTGTCTTAATTGCATTAATTAATTAAAAGACGCATCCCCCCCCCCCCCCTGCTTTTCCACAGTACCCCGGGGGAGGAAGAGGTCAGATAAAGAAATAAATCTGCCAATCCAACATCTGGCCTTCATTAACAGGGCTAAAATAATAATTAATGGACATTAATCACACATCAGGACGGGGACGGTTGGCTGGAAGTCAGGAGAATGTAGTAGAAGCTTATCGTGGGACCGCAGCCTGGTGTTAGAGTCCGTAATGCCAACAGGATGACACCAACAGCCACACCAGGCTCTGGCGGAAACGTCAGCAGTGACTGCAGCAATGCTGCTATTCACCTTACGGATGAGGCTCGCGCCCCAGACACAAACCAACGCTCATGGCTGTAGGCGTGAAGCGTGCAGTTACAGAGCCATCCACACGAGGCGCCGGAATGGAGGGTACAGCACGCAGCCCTTCGATCGGGGGTGGGGGTGAAGGCCAGTGGGGTCTGCATGGAGGAGCTGACCTGCAGTCAGCAGCGACCTTCTCACATCCGCCTGAGCTGACGAGCCATCGTGGGTCTATGACCGTTACCGTCGTCTGGCTCTCGCAGACAGTCGCAGGCACCTTTCCATGTCATGACGCGTTCTGCCTGCATGCCGCTACCTACCTCCATCCATGTGGTCACCTTGGCGAGTCCCACAAACCCCAAAAATACAGATCGAGACTTATTACTGCCCCCTGATGGACGCCTTCTCACACGCTGCCCAAACAATGCTGAACGGCTCAGACACCAGTAACTCTGCGTCCCGCGACCCTGCAGTGTGCCTGCTGTCATCCCGGCCTCCAGCCCCCGTTGACCATGCACCCCCCCCCCCCCCCCCCCCCCCCCCCCCCCCCCCCCCCCCCTGCCCCCCCCCCCCCCCCCCCCCCCCCCACGGTGTCCCCACCCCCACTCACCTCCTGTTCCTGCTGCGGGACCTCCTGGAGCGCCGTGCCCGGCTTCGGTCAGCGCTGTGGCTGCTCCTCTTCCTCCGGGACGAGTCGCGTGACGAGCTGCTGCTGGAGCGACGCCGGCGCCTGCGGGGGGGGCACAGGGTTACAGCGCTAATTTTAGAGGGCGGGGGGGGGGGGGGTTATCGCAGGGGCCTGGACCCAGAGTGGCTCTCTTGAATTCCTCCCCAACACAGCCCGCTCTGTCAGCTGCTCAAAACTCGTAGAACAGCATCACCCTATAAATAAATAAATAGTTTCCCCCCCCCCCCCCAGTGTTAGAATTTGGTTTACCACCCATTTCTGCATCAATTACAACCTAAATAAACTGCATACCTACTACACCACCACCCCCGTCTGCAAAACGGTGAAGACGAGTCTCAGCAGCAGAACCGGGGCCATCACCGGCTCCAGCCAGCAGAACCGGGGCCATCACCGGCTCCAGCCAGCCCCCCCCAACAAAAACACGCTTTTAATCTTCCATGCCAGTCGGGAACTTTATTCTGTTTGTAAACCGCGTTCAAACGCTCTCCTGACTGATACCATATAGCAGGGATCATTTGCAGGAGGGAATTTTAATGTGAGGCTCTCGCATCTCGCACAGGGAGACAGTTTGAGTAATATTCATTATTAAAACTTTTTTTCAGAAAAGCTCACATCTTCTTAGCGCTAAAAACGCAGACTTTCCCCACCGGGAGCCTGGCGGGGCGTAAGGGGAAAACAGTACAAATAATGCAGACGAGGAACCATCACAACGAATTTGTACCACTTACTCTACGCAGAGACAGCTGCCTTAGTGCATGTAGGCTTCGCCGTGTGCCGCATCACCACAAAGCGATTCACAGCCAAAATTCATGGGGTCCACACCCCAAACACCCAGTCTGAGTTCTGAGTGAAGACAGCAGTCTATACAAAAACGTGACGCACTGAACCAACTACCCCAAAAACCCAAACGAGCAAAATATCAGCACTGGCTAAACACACACAGTCACTATCCTTACATGTAATTTCAATGCTTTTTTTACCCATATCACAGAAACCATAATATTTTTTAACAATAAACAGCACTTCCACAGTCTCAAAAAGAATATTATAGAAACGTTATTTTAATCTTGAAACTCCCCTGAGCAGAGGAATGTAAAATTATATAATCAACATAATAAATTATTCAATTCAAATAAACAGAAAAGAAGGCGCTTGACATTTCAAAGCTTACCCTGTTTACATATAAATATATATAAATATAACACATGCATAATCTAATTAGGTCAGCCACAAGTGTTCATCCAGCTGATCCACTAGAAAAGTGCTGCTTCCCGCTTAAATAGATATCCATCAATTAGCTACTTGCAGTGAACACTGGAAATTTCCTTGAGACCATTAATCACCATTAATTCCAGTAAGCATTAGCATCACAGCCCTGATCACGTGGCCACCGGCGGTGAACTGCCCATTTGTCTGACGCCGTTTGCCCGGGTTTTCACCAGGCCGGCTGTCTCATGCTCCCCGCCTGCCCACGCCCCGGCAGTTTACCTCGCCGCCAACGGCGCCCAGACATCACTCAAAGGGTCGTCGGGAGACACAGCGGAGTCTAAAGGTCGTGCGGCTGCTGTGTTCTCGGCCCGGCAAAACCATATCCAGAACGAACAGAATACATTAAAGTTTCATACCTCCCCGCATTGACACTATCCAGTACTTACTGGCATACGCGCTCATGTTTGCGCTCAAGGCTACGACATGGATTGTAAAACCCACATCTTTGGGGTCACGCGTCCGGATTCACGAGCGCTACTCTGCCTCAAAGACCTCTGTGAGGCTCGGCGCCGGACCTAGAAGGCTCCACGGGGTGTCCTTACGGCTCATTGTGACAAAGGCGTCCGGCGAGCTTTTCTCAACCATTCTGTTGTCTGTCGCAGAAAAACAAGCGCAAAGTCCAATGGGGAGTAAAGACCCCCAACTTAACAGAGCCCCCTTTAAACAAGTGGGTTTTGTCTAACTATGAAGAAGAAACATGTATCACCTTTAACACAGCTGCAACTCACATGGATATAACTTTTAAGCCCAAAACAGAAGCAGGTTGGGGAGACAAATTTTTTTTTTTAAATAAATTTAAAAACCACTGCTGTGAACACTGATTCTCCTGAATGAATGTGTGCTCTCTGAGCCAACTCCGCTGTGCTTAATTACACTCAAATTATTATTTAAGGTTTTTTGGATATAATTAACATTTCTTCCAAGTCAATCGGACAGTTGTTAACTAGGTGAACTAGGGTTATTTTCTCAAACTGTGTTTATGCAACCTGTCCAGAGACACGGAACATCTTGGCAGGCAGTAGCAGGCGCTCGACTCCACGTGCCTTCTGTCTCTCGACCGCGACCTACGGCCGGGCCGCTTGCTGCGGCTGGTCACGCGGCTCCCAGATGAGCTGGACGAGGATGAGGACGAAGAGCGGCGCCGGTGCTTCTTCGTCCTCCGGCTGCTGCGGCCGTCGTCCTCGCTGGCTGACGAGTGGTACCCCATGTGGGTCTACAGGAATGGGAGCCGCAGGTGGGGTGGGGCAAGGCCCAAAGAAAAGAGGAATGAGGGAAAGAAGGAGAGATTAACAAACAAACAAAAAACACTGTTCAAACCATTAAGAAAAATGCAACATTTAAAGCAAATTGAACCCAAGCATGACCGCAACTGAACATGACCCTATTACAGCTGGAGCAACAGTCAGCTAAGCTGTCCACCCTGTATGTCCTTGTTTAACTGACAGCGGGTTGTTGCTGTTTAAAGTCCCGGGGGGGGGGGGGGGGGGCTGTCTGCTAGAGCAAGGTTATTAGTCTAAATTGCTGCAGTAAAACACCCAGCTGTAAATATGACTAAACTGCATGCTGAGAAAAGCTTTCACTAAGCAAATGCATTACATCATATATGTGATCTTCTCCTCTAACTGAGAGTAGGGATACTGATCTCTTCCATGCAGTAAAACAGGAGATGCATTACACACGGCTAGTTGTTACCGGTTACATTTTTTCAGAAGCCAACCAGAATAGCCCAACTAAATGAAGCAGTTACAAAATTGTAAAATCTGAACATCATTTTTAAAAGTAATTTCTGCGTTTGCGCAGATAAACGAGAGCTACTAAATTCTGAGGAAAAATAAACAGCAATGATACCACACACCTGTTAAACTGACAGAATAGTGATTACATATTGGAATTAAGCGGATTTTTTAAAAAGAATCACTGACAGGAGCTGCATACAAGTTTTTATGTTTCCATGGTTAAAGTATACACCTCGGGAAAACACAAATTCGAAAAACTTAATAGCCAACTGGCTTGTAAGCTGATCAGACAATTAACAGGCTAACAAGCATCGAAGCGCTGGGCAGCCGGTCAGCAGATGCATCTTGCAGGCGGCGTGACCAGCACAGCTCCGCGCGACCTGAGAAGGTGCCTCACGAGCCGTGTGTTCATACAGGCATGCCGGCTACAGTTCATGTACCACTTATCTAACACTGATAATGACTAAGAAAGAAAATAATAAATACATAAACCATGTTGTTTCGTTTTCCTGCATAGATTGACAACGCAAGCTTGTTTGCTTATAATGTCGTTTAAGATGCTTAAAATGTAAACAGCTAAGCTAACTAGCCAGTGCTAACATGGCACACGTGAAGCCTTTCGTCTTCGGTATTTCTTGCCGTCAGTTTGCTATCCTGTGCATACGTGCATAATAACAGCATTTTATTATTTCGTGAGAAGACGAAAGTACAATAACCTAATGTCTTACCTGTTTCCTTGCGCTGTCCCCTTTTTTAGAACACAGAGAAGCACTCAGGAAGCGCCATGTACCGCTTCAAAGACATCACAGGCGGCTGCAGAGAGCATCGATCTCGAAAAAAACGAAGACAGGACAAGCAGCCTATAAAGTAGAAACCAGAGTAGTCGTTCACATAATTCCTTATCTTGAACATGTATTTTAAATACAGACCTGTACATACAGGAGCTACCTAACCACTATTTATTTCTTGCAGTACCGATGTAAAACGTTCAAAGTGAAGCAAACTAATTTATATAAATTAAGCCTATGAACTTGTCACATCCCACCATTTACTTCTAAATATATACATTCCGTAGGATTCTTTTTTAAAGTGAAATTAGAAAATAGTCATTATATATATATATATATATATATATATATATATATATATATAAACAAACATTCCATATATGCCTTCTTCTATCTTATATCTTTAAACCATGTAGTTACATAATGGACTAAGTTGTTTTTGTCTCAATTAGGAGATGTAACGTTATTTTGAAACAGTTACAGCAATAACCAACTGTTGTTGTACAGGGTCTTTGTATTATCAACACCTCGCATTTAGAGATGAATTATTAGCCTAAAAGTAGAAATAAATGTTATGAATGTTTTACAGACACAAAATGTAATATTAAGCATAATACTTCATCTTTTGTATCGCCATTGATTCCGCTGACATTTTTATGTGTTTTCCTGTACATTACCCGTTTGTCTTCCAGCAAGTTTTTTTGTTATTAAAAAATCATAATGAAGAGTGCATGAGAAGATGTGAGGCCGGCCAGCTGTAACCTGAATAAGAATTAGTTTTCGGAAAACAAAAACACTCAAGGTCTAATTCAAAAATCCTTAACACGTTAGTCGTGTAAAACGATACTCGTTTCTATTTTGCGGTCCTTTTGTTTTGTTGTAATTACAGCCCTGGTTCCATCAAAGCGTCCTGCTGTTGCTCCTCAACTATAATCAAGGAATAAAATGTGCTACTTTGGGTTTCGCGCTGAAAAGTATTTATGATGGAAACTGAAACAGATAAAAATACATGCAATGTAAAGAATGAAACAAACTTTTTAATCAATGTTAAACGAAAACGCAGGGACCAATTGTGTGATTTTCATTATTCCATTATTACTGAAAATGTACATTTCCTACATACTAATCACGGGTAGATTATATATGTATAATAGCCTATAAAGTATGGGTTTTAACTACAGCGGTTTTTTTTGTTTTGTGTGGGTGAAAATTACGTCTAACAACTTTTCACACAAAAAGAAATTAACGAAAATCTATGAACTTGTCATTCAGGGTCAATGACAAATTCCGTTTAATGAAATGCGACAATAAATTATGCTATCTGAATATTTCTTTATAATCACCCTCCCTTAATAAAACTATTTTGTAATTACACGGTTTCGGTCTCCACTTTCATTAAGAAATTTAAGTTGGACAAAATAGATTCTAAAGACATGATCATAAATTCAAACAAACATAACTTTTTCGTGATGTGTGGAAATTTTGTTTTTCGGTTTATTTCTGTATAAAGACACGCAAATGAAGATTTCATAACTGACTGAAAAACAACTCGTGGCTCTGTATTCGACAAAAACAACACTCTATAAAACGAGAAATATAATTGCAGGTTAATTAATGCGTCTGTTTCAAAATAATCCTCGTGGTAAATAATTAATTAGTGGAGTTGTTTAAAAGACGTGGGTGCACCTAATACTTACTATATAGATTATCAATAACCGCTTTTAATTTTGTCTCACCGTTACAAATAATTTCATATTCTCTCGCATCGCGTTTCATGACATACTCCGTCTTTGCAGTCTAATTCTCTACGTCCCTGCGGCAATTCAGTCACCGTGCACCGGAGAACTATTATTTATTTATTTTTCATATGTGTGATTATTTCAGCGCACAGTTTAAAAAACAACAATTAATAACCCCAGCGGCGCCCCGTTAATGCACTTCGATTGCGTCGCTATTCCGCTGTTTCCCTTCTTGCAAAGGCTGCAAAAGTCTGACTGCACAAAAAAATGCTTCATCGACTATCACCAACGTGATGCACAAAAACTTACTTAACCGAAAATGAATTAATTGTTTGAATAGTGTTATTAAAATCTAGTGAAAGTACTAATAACTATAATGCTACTTAATTGTGAATATTCTTCAAACGATATATATAACACGTAATAATAAAAGACATCATAATTACAAGTTAACTATAGTTAATTTTAATATCAATAACATTTATTATATTAGTGTGAACAATAATATACCTTGCAGTTATACAGCATAAACTTTTATTATTGCTATTTTACGTAACTGTAATTGGTACAAATTAATATAAATACGTATAAATTAGCATGTTTCAGGTTTATTTATACGATTAAAATTTTAAACTCTTAAAATGGCCCGCTAATTACCCGTCTACCTTTTGATAACACTGTGAAACAGTTGTGTTTAGCTTTAAATGGTTCGCACGTCTCCCAGTTAAAGCTCAATTAAACACAATTCTTATCTTTAAAAAGAAATTAGTAACTGTCAAATCCCATTGCTTCGTTGCCATTGACGCGATGTGTACATTTCGTGTCAGGTCCGAATAACTCGTCGCCGCTACTCTCTTTACCTTTTCGTATCACTGTCGCTGTCTTTTTTCCAGATCAGAGAGATTTAGAGGACGCTGCTTTTCCGCGTGTTCCCTTCTGGCCGAGCTTGTCATTTTCAGTTTTGGCCACACCCCTGCGGAGATCCGGCCCATCTCCCTGGTGTTTAAAAAACTAAGGACAATAGCAGCGAATCCACGCTTAATTAAATTAATTAGTCCTTCTTGTCAATCTTGGATTAATGGCCAATAGCAGCCTAGTAGGAATGATCTGAAATCTGAAGGGCTGATAATGTTTTTTTCCACCCTGTTGGTGTGTCGAGAACGAAAGGGGCTCATCCTGGCTTCCTGAGGGGAGGTAATTTGCACGGATCAAGGGGCAGGCATCGCAAAGTATAAATAGTGTGACTTCAATAGCGGAGCTCCAGCCGGTCTGAACTCCGCAGCAAGAAGAATTGGCCGAGATCATATACATTTAGTTAAGCACGAGATTTGGCATCAACATCACCCAGTATTTAGGTCGACGAAAAGAAGCACTATTGATGTCTTATCTTAGGCTGTTGCTGAACTGAGAAAAAGAGAGAGTGAGAACGAGAAGGGAAGATTTTTGGAGCAGTGATGGAAGAACTCACCGCCTTTGTGTCTAAGTCTTTTGATCAGAAAGTAAAGGAGAAGAAGGAGGTGATAACGTACAGGGAGGTGCTGGAGACCGGATCGGTGCGAGGCAGGGAAGCGGTCTCCGCTGAGCCGAATCGCGAGGAGGTGAACGCTATTGCCCGAGGAAGTGCGCGATCGCCCGGCAGAGAACAGGACATGCTTGGGCCAGAGAGGACCAGGGATACGGGCAGTCCAAAACTCCTTGACGGTAAATACCTGCTCGCTCTGACGGGCATTTAACCTTGACCGTTGTTATGGACAACACATATTTCGTGTCCATCTTTTTGCTAGGAAAAATCGTACCAATCTTTTAAATTTCTAGCTATCGCAAACGGTAAGGCTAGGCAGTACATGCTACGTAATAGTAATACGGAACATACGTGAACGTTTTGGGGAAGCGTCAATCGTTCAAATACTCGAAAAGTTGCATGATTTATTACACAGAATTTACGCAGCACACTTTTAAAATGTATATAGGTGTTTATACTCTGCTTATTTCTGAGTAGTGACAGGACTCACCAAATTAATTTAATCTAAACGCATACTGTGTAAAACCGTTATACATAATAGACAATATTTACAAATTTTCACTTGAGAAGAAAAAATTCAATCAACTGCAGCCTGTTTATAATGCGGGATAAATATGCGTTAAAGGAATAATATATAATTTACGAATAAGTTAATTTGTCTAAAATATTGGGATTCATAGTTTTCGGGCCGAATTGCTTTTATGAGGCCCTGCCGACAAATATGCATTTAAAAGTAGCCAGTAATTGTATTTTTCATAATAGCAAATGTACGTTGTATTTGCTTGTTCATTCGCAAGATTGTAGATATTTAATCGTCGGGTTTAAAGAATTAATGTCGAGAGCAAGAATTACTGATGGATAACTATTGATTTGTATGGTATTCATACTTAATATTTCAAGTGACAAATAGGAGTTCCAGCAAGCAAAATTACACACCATAGCGTGTCTTTGGTTCGAGGAACACAGAAACAGGTGTAATAGTTATCAGATCATTTTAATTCTGTTATATTCCAGAAATTCTGTTATGGCAAGGATGTGGAGAATAAACATGTTAATTATTTCAAAGCCGATAATTTACGTCGAAAAAAATGAGTTAATAAAATGCGTGTCGTTGAAATTGTTGTGACGAAAAACGATGTGAGTTACCTAATGAAATATTTCCATAAATGTACTCGTGTCTGAATCAAAACGACAATATGTGTGAATAGTCCTTACGTTCGCGTAGGTCCGATGTAACTTAAGTATTTTTAAAGGTAACCAAAGGTGAAAATGAAAATTAACCTATTGACATTTGTTCATCGGGAACAAACTTACGTTCTGTATTTCGTAAAAAACAGCTAATTTTAATTATTGTCATCTTCGTGGACATCCACATTAAAGGGCAATCGGTGCATATTCATCCTCACTCGAAGCTAAAGCAAATTCCGAATGATCACAGGCTTGTCTCGGTCCTCCAGTAGCGAGACCCTCCATGCATATTTATCAGGAGTTAATTATTTAAACCCTGTGTCTCGGAATACAAAATATCCGCAGCTAATATTGATGCCAAGCTACAGCAAAATCAGGGATAGATTTTGTTAGATCGCGCTGCGTTGCCTGTCTCCGCGAGCACAGGATTTCAACCGAGGCCTTGACATTCTGCTACAATTATCTTTCTATCTATCTATCTTTCTATCTATCTATCTATCTATATATCTATCCGTTTTATTTATTTATCTCCCATTTCGTTCCCCACCAAGGTAACACGGATATGAAAGAACGAAAGGAAGACTCCAAGCCGATGGAGGACGAGACACAGACCAAGATCAAACAGAGGAGAAGTCGGACTAACTTTACTCTGGAGCAACTGAACGAACTGGAGCGGCTATTCGATGAGACCCATTACCCAGACGCCTTCATGCGCGAGGAGCTGAGTCAAAGGCTGGGACTCTCTGAAGCGCGAGTGCAAGTAAGCGGCTTTACGTGATGTCCTGGGATTTGCTACCGGCGTAAAGAGTACATTGTCATTAATATTTTTACGGCAGTCGCGATGGATACGAATCTAAGTTTGATGACAAGGTACATACATTTTTATCAATACAGTTATTATTGGCATTTCCAATCATTTTTCCCCAAAGGTTAGCTCAAATAAAAACTGAATCTCTGTACAAAGCAGCATACTGATCTGTGTTCAGTTAACGTCGTGCTGGTTCTTGATTGTATTCAAGGATCTTAAAGTTAAAGGGATTTGAGCCTGCACATTGTTATTGGTTGAACACAGTATATGCAACATTCTAACATATAAATTTAAAGTAACAAACGATCCACATAAATAAGTGAATTAATGGTGACATACACCCCGTTAATTCTCACGTCGTTATTAAATCGAGGGAAACAAGCAGAAAATTGTCCCACAAATTACTATTTTATACAAATTGTATGCGAAGGGCAGTAAATAATATAATATAATATAATATAATATAATATAATATAATATAATATAATATAATATAATATAATATAATATAATTACATAATTATAACGCATTTTCGTTTTCACAGCGATACTTTATTATAGTATTGTTACTAGTGGCTATATCTACGCATTTTTTAACCGGGCCGTCTGCGCAGAAATTCAATAAGCCGACTTTGTGAGGGATACAATTTATGTGTAACAAGAGAAGGACAACTGTGCCGGGCAAAGACAATGAACATAGACACGGGTTTTGATGTGATTTATCAATTCCCATAATATCTCATTTCAAGCTCTCCTCTTCCATGTCCTCGGCTTCAGCACAGGGTAATGGCGCGAGTTCGTATTTCTTTGCATGGCACAGAATTTCTCGTTAATAAATATTTTGGCGACGGTAAAAACTCGTGCATCCAGTGTGTCACTAACAAAGTTAACGAAGCGTTCTGTAGCTTCGCCCTACGCGGGCTGGAATTTTACCAAAGCTTATTGTGTTATAAGCAGGGGGACTACAAGAGCCGGGCTCGCGGATTTACATAAATTATGTATCACTTTAGCCCAATAAAGATATGATGTTCTGTCCATGTTCAATAATAATAAAAGGGATAATTTTCGGATTAAAATGCCAGGGATGCTAAGTCATGAAGCCGACCTTAAAGACGACAAAATAAAGTATATACAAAGTTAAGAGAGAATTAAGAATTATTTCTCTCATTTAGTACACATCTATTTTATTGTTATCATTGTATGTCCCTGCTAAACGAAACATTAATCCGAAGATTGGTTTGCATCAAAATAACCAGGTATTTGATATTGTTTTCGAAAACGACGTAAAACAAAACAGATACAGATTTTTCTTGGTTAATTTATCAGCGCTTTACGGGGGATTCAAAGTAGATTATCATAGTAATGAGACGCCTAATCTCCCTACCCAGATATTCGTTACAAAAACAACGGGTTTAACCGCAGAAGTAGAGAGAAACAGTTATCTTGGAAATTGCTTTGTACTCAGCTTGTTATGACAGTAATTAAACCAAACCGTAAGGCTTTAAAAGCTCCAGCGACATAAATTTTCTTGCCGATAAAGGTAATTAATTTTACTGGCGTCTAATGAGCGCGTTCATCTCAGATCACATTGCTCAGATGTCCACAGATGTAATCACATGCTGGTATTCGATATCAGAGAGTCAATTTTGTTCTTCTGGGACGGTAATCTATAGAAAGATGAAACCTGTGCTGGGCCGGTAATTTATTATGCTACAATTTAGTCTGCAAATTTCGATCAAGCGTGTTTGCTTTCTAGGTCGTTATATATTCATTTACTGATTTTGTTTCGGGGTCTCACTTTCCCCTGATTTTGACGCCCGCTAATTTTGTTTCCGTGTTGTAAAATTGTTAATTGAAATCAGAGGTTACGCTCCGTTAATATTTCAGAGGTCTAATGGGATACTGTTTTTTGTTTCTGTCGTTGTCATTTTGAGAGGAATTACACATGCCCTCACAAGCAGCTGCCAGTCTATGTCACAAATTAATTTTTTTCCCTGTAGGTTTGGTTTCAAAACCGGCGGGCCAAATGCAGAAAGCAGGAGAATCAATTACACAAAGGTGCGTGTTTTTATTTTGTGAACCAGCTAAATAATAGTAATAGGTTTCTGGAGAAGTTTGCTGCAAGGCATTTTGAAACCGTCATTTTCTAACGACGCGTATAATCACAGGTTTAAAAATGACAAAAATGAAAAGTTACATAGAAATGTTAAATAGCTGTGAGTTTGTCGGGGTTACGACTACCGACATCGATACGCAGCTGCCATGTTTACAGTAGCCTTTACAAGCATATTTTGAACACGAACCTCTTCTTTATTCAGGGGTACTCATCGGCGCGGCGAGTCAGTTTGAAGCCTGTCGCGTAGCGCCATATGTCAACGTGGGAGCGCTGCGGATGCCATTCCAACAGGCGAGTCTCTTTGAAGCGTCGCGGCCTCTGACAGAAACGGTCCCGCCACAGTTGCTTTGGCGCGGGCTTCGGCCGACTGGAGCGGTGCTGCTCCAGGGTCCCAAAGTGGTGGCAATTCACAGATACCCTTTCATTGGCCATCTGCAGCACAGCACTTAGGGGGGTGGGGGGGGGCGAATATTCTCTGCAACAGTTAATTACCTGACCACTCCATTAATCCGCCATTGACACATGTATAACCTGTCAATGAGTAAAGGAAAATATATAGGCAAATATATTTGTGTGTGTGTTTCTGTGCGTGTGTGTGTCTTACCACGCAAATGATTACATAAAACCTGTCTTTCTACATTGTTCGCCCATGCGTGGAGAGGCCATTAATATAGCCCGGTTGCATGTTACTCTCTGTGACTTCATGGATACCTTAAGTGCTGCATTAAAAACTCACTAGAGGCAGCCATTCAAAGTTAATGTTTTTCTCCCCTCTCTCCCCATCCGTACGTCTGTAGGATAGTCATTGCAACGTGCCGCCCTTCTCCTTTCAGGTCCAGGCGCAACTGCAGTTGGACAGCGCAGTGGCCCACGCGCACCATCACCTGCACTCTCACCTGGCAGCGCACGCACCTTACATGATGTTCCCTACTCCGCCATTTGGGTTGCCTTTGGCTACGCTCGCGGCGGAATCTGCCTCCGCAGCTTCGGTTGTGGCCGCTGCCGCGGCCGCAAAAAACACCAACAAAAACTCAAGCATCGCAGACCTCAGACTCAAAGCCAAAAAGCACGCCGCAGCCTTGGGACTGTGACATGAGGGGACGCGTTTTAAAAATGTCTTCAACATTGACTGAGATTCAGGACCTGATAAACAAAACAGAAGGCGTACAAAGAAAAGGAAGGACCCTATTTCTGCTTTTTAAAATGAAGGACAAAGATGTATAAGAAAACTATAAAGATAGACTATTTATAAAAAGACAACTAACTGTTCGAAATTAATGATGGATCCCGAGCAAGTGGAAGGGAATTGATGTATTCAAATAAATTCATGATCCAACGTGTGAAAAAAGCGGGACGGAGGATAAACATCTACGGAGGAGAAGGGAAGTCTTTAAGAACAAGATTATACCGCGAGTTTGGGATGACGCAGCTGGGATGTTCCGCTTTTTGTGTGACAAAGCGAACTATTCTGCGCAGTTATTATTTGATTTAAAAAACGGAGGCTGGCCTCATTTTATTCGGACTCTGTGCCACGGTTTCCCTGAATGAGGAAACTATGGATATTTGTTGAAAATAGACACAATATAGGAGGTAATATTCTCTGAAACCTCTAAAGGTGTTTGCATGAATTTCTTTCTTCACGGATGACGAAAATTAAGTCAGTTAAATTCCATACCCTCCCTTTTTTGTGGACGGCTGTCATTCGGCAGTATAAATTGAACAAGCAGCCACTTGAGAATTAGGGGTCTGGAGCTTAGTGTTGGGCATCCGGGGTTATGTCGGGAAGACTAGAATGACATCCAGAGATTTTAATTAATATTGACTATATGGTAAATTCACCTAATTTATCGGGTTCATGTTCAGGTAGTTTCCTTATTTCCAGTTAACAACACCCACTTAAGTCCACATTTCAGAAATGTATTTTTTTTTTAAAACTTTGAAATAAGATATTAGGCTGATTATTATTATTATTAGTATTATTATTATTATTATTATTATTATTATTATTATTATTATTATTACACGGTACGGACACATGTAATATATGTTAATACAAGAAACAGAAACGAATATTTTGGTTAATTTGTGGCTTAAAACTTAGTAGGGACATTTTTCGATTTTAATTTCTCTCCGTGTATAAATCACGTGCATTCTACCTGTTGTGATGTTGATGCTTTTATAAGTGAAAGTAAACTGACCTCTGCGAAAGTTGGGCGCAGATTTCTTGAAAATATCTTCATAATCATTTTTCCATATGTTTACATATTATTTCATCATCTGTTAATGTAAAACGTGGATTCATCTAAAACAATATTCTCGGTTTATACAATAAATCAACTACATTTTTATAATAGGTGCGTTATTTCTTAATTTGTTGTTTGTTGTTCATAATTTGTGTAAAAAAAAAGTGCAATTTCGAAATAAGATTATAATTTATTGAAGTTAAATGGTTATTTTTGCAATAAAACAGTATTTGTTCGGATTCCGATTTTATAAAATATACACAACGTCGAATTCTGACACAACTGGTATTTTAAAGGTAAACTAATATTACAAAAATGACCAGATTTTGTTAAATAAAAACAGCAATGGTACTGGTGACAATTAAAGTGATACATTTTAGAATTATCATACACAACATTCAGAAACGTATGCAACAACAGCAATAATAACAAACAATGACCATGCTACGAATTCCATTGAAGTGGGTCTATTTGAACAGTTTTCTATCGGTTTTGGGGCATTTATGATCCCCTTAAAAATTAGAAAGCAAATCCTTTTAAATAACTCTTATCTCCTGGCATTAGCTAACGCCATTATCGCGTAAAAACAAACATTTATATTTAAAGCTATTGTTGGGAGCTGATTGACGTGGCATGTATACTGTATGAATCATATATATCCTCAAAGACTTTGCTTACTATTTACGTTTAGCTGAAGCTAATGGGTTATATGGCCTAGCGCTTAGTAGCTTAAAAGTATGTGCAGTATAATTGATTTAAGCTTAAGTCATCGAGGTACTTCAGGGGTACGTCTTCAGTACGAATCATAACTTCATTGTTCGTTCATTGGCGATGGCCTGTTCGCGTGCATGGAAAGCAGGCAGGCCAAAAGAGTGCATTTTAATGAATAAGTATCATTTCTCAGCTGCCACGGAACATTTTACCTTTATTTGCCTCGTGCAAAATTTAAAACATTCCAAATTACAATGTTTTTTTTTTTTTTGTAAACGAAAACCTGCTGCACACCTTTGCAGTATTTCAAGAAAGTGTATTAGGCCTACTTGGAAAGAAACATAACTTTCTTCAGTTATGGTCTGATTTTAAGTAAAACTTACCAAGTACGATACAGTAGGCTACGTGCATAAATTCAGGTGAGGGACCATATGTCACAGTTGGAAGACCTCAGTTACTGCATGTTGCCAGTGGATGTTTTACATTGTTTTTGTCAAAATGACGCCATTGTCATTCTCGTTGCTGTAAATTGCTGCACCTCCATTTAATAACATTCATCTTTGCATAACTGCAAACGCCTGTCGGAAAGTCCTGCTTACACTGTTAAAAACACATTTTGCAGAGCTTTCGTACTGGGGCATCTTTATTTACTATTTGGGGAAAATCGGATTTTAAAAACACTATATAATTTGGAAAATAACTCCCGCTATTTTTGTAGAGCAGGCCGCACATACAACAGTTCAGTGTCCATCCATCTTCCAAGCCAGCTGGTTAGGATCATATGGATATATCATAATCTCTATTAGGAAAAACCTTAACAACTCTCCCATTGTTCATTATTATGCTTTAAAAATATTTTCCAAGCACTATTTCACCTGAGTTAGCCCTTTGCAGGATGCAGAACCTGTACAGAACCACAGCTACTCTACCTGCCATTGACACAGCCCTGCATTTCAATACAAAAAGAGTTACTGGGCTCCAGTAACAGCTGGACCATTAAACAGAGTGTACAGCGATTGTACCTCGTGACGGCTTATATTCAGGTCCTAACAGTGCGGAATTATCGATTGCTGAAATTCTATTAGCGGAGACCACAAATCTATGAATACATCTGTTGTCATGAAAGACCCGGGCACAGGATAGGGGGGTGGGGGGCTGTTCTGACAGTTGGCTGGGGAGGATTATTCATACTTGGGGTGTCATTGCCCTCATCTGAGTTTAATGGTATCAGTCCATAAACTAGTTCTCCTGCGCCAGTAGGCTGTTGGTTTGAATGGTACACCTTGCCCCAGAAAAGACACCGTTTTTAAACTAGCCGAATCCCTCTTCATATGAAGAGGGGTTCTTGGTTTAGTGCTAGATATATTTGACCAGAGCCGGTCAGGAGAAGTTCTTCGCTTCAACAGGACCTATTTCTGGGATTTGTGCTGGCAACCATCGGGTTATGAGTCTGTGTCCTTAACCACCATGTTGCCGCCCCCCCCCCC